TAAGATAGAAGGAAATACAGGCTGGGCGTAATGGCTCATACTTGTAATCCCAGCACTTTGGGAGGCAGAGGTGGGTGGATCACGAGGTCAGGAGTTCAAGACCAGCCTGGCCAAGATGGTGACACACTGTCTCTATGAAAAATACAAAAATTAGCCGGGTTTAGTGGCGGGCACCTGTAATCCCAGCTACTCAGGAGGCTGAGGCAGAGAATTGCTTGAACCCAGGAGGCAGAAGTTGCAGTGAGCCAAGATCACGCCACTGCACTCCAGCCTGGATGACAGGTGACAGAGCGAGACTCTCTCTCAAAAAAAAAAAGGAAAAAGGAAATGCAAATATCAAAGAAATTAGATAAAGACCCTGAAACATTATATTTAATATGCAACTGTCAATATTAACTCATTTTTTAATTATATATTTCTTTTCTCACCACAGCGAATTTTAATGTTTCCCTTTTCTAGGAGGAGAGGTTGCCCTACCCACTTTTGAAGACACCCCAAAGATTGTCTGGCAGTTTGGTGCAGAAAGGATTTGGCCCAATCTTGTGCTGGCTAGGATACAGAAAGGCACGTAAAGTTTGTGGCTCAAAGTCCACCGGGCTGGAGTGGGGCAGAATGTGCACAGGGAAGTGGTCTGGGAGAGACTTGTAGGAGTGTGGGCTTGGGTTCCTGTGACAGAGGTAGTTAGTTGGTCCTGGTGGACCAAGGCTGGGGTGGCCAAGGGGAGCCTGAGCCCTCTGGCTGGGAGGATGCTCCTGCAGTGGCCCCTGTCTAGGGGAGCTAGTTCACCAGCTCACTGCTTTCAAACCACAGCTGGATCTCTTTCTGACCCCTTACCCTGAATAGCTGGTGTGAATGATATTCCTGCTGATGTGGACGTCGATGAAGTCTCCGCATATGGTCACAGAGTCAGCCTCAGCCCTGTCAGTGTATCCTATCATGGCCCTCGAGGCATGGATCACATTGTACCCTTCCCAGACCATGGCCATCAACAGGCCTGAAGCTCACATAGCTAAGGAGAGCTGGGTAGAAGGGCTTCCTTCGCAGGTCCCAGTAGTGGTCAGCAAGGACGCTTTCCAGTGGGCCGCAGGATCTTCATCCCTACCAGCTTGAATCTCTGCCTCCAAAGCACTGGATCACATCCCTAACAGACTGCCACAAGACCCCATCTGGCTTCAGTGAGACCAGGGTCCACTCCTGGATCAAGAAGTGGGCAAGGGATATGAACAGATATTTCTCAAAAGAAGACATGCGTACAGCCAACAGACACATGAAAAAATGCTCGTCATCACTGGCCATCAGAGAAATGCAAATCAAAACCACAATGAGATACCATCTCACACCAGTTAGAATGGCAATCATTAAAAAGTCAGGAAACAACAGGTGCTGGAGAGCATGTGGAGAAATAGGAACACTTTTACACTGTTGGTGGGATTGTAAACTGGTTCAACCACTACGGAAAACAGTATGGCGATTCCTCAAGGATCTAGAAGTAGAAGTACCATATGACCCAGCCATCCCATTACTGGGTATATACCCAAAAGATTATAAATCATGCTGCTATAATGACACATGCACACGTATGTTCATTGCGGCACTATTCACAATAGTAAAGACTTGGAATCAACCCAAATGTCCATCAGTCATAGACTGGATTAAGAAAATGTGGCACATATACACCATGGAATACTATGCAGCCATAAAAAAGGATGAGTTTGTGTCCTTTGTAGGGACATGGATGCAGCTGGAAACCATCATTCTCAGCAAACTATCACAAGAACAGAAAACCAAACACCGCATGTTCTCACTCATAGGTGGGAACTGAACAATGAGATCACTTGGACTCAGGAAGGGGAACATCACACACCGGGGCCTATTATGGGGAGTAGGGAGGGGGGAGGGATGGCACTGGGAGTTATACCTGATGTAAATGACAAGTTGATGGGTGCTGATGAGTTGATGGGTGCAGCACACCAACATGGCACAAGTATACATATGTAACAAACCTGCACATTATGCACATGTACCCTAGAACTTAAAGTATAATAATAATAAAAAATAAAGAAAGAAAGAAAGAAAGAAAGAAGGGTCCTCCTGAGCCAGGCGCCAAGAGCAGGCACGGGCAAGAGCCCGCGGGGTCATACAGCAGGCCCGGCAGCGGTGGCATGCCCGAAGAGGCTGCAGGTGACGTCTGACCACAAGCCATTGATTCTAAAAATTATATGTTTTAGTCCTGAAGGGCCTAGAAACAATGACTATACAATATTTATGAGCATTCCTAGCTCACAAGTGAGTGATCCCCATTAAAAGGAGCCAAGAATCCATTTAAAAAATGCATGAAGTTTTCAAAGACTAAAGGGGTAATGTCAGAACACAGAAGCCAAAGTTGGTGCAATTTGAGCATCTAACAGAAAAAAATGACTATAACTGATTAAAATATATTGAATATATATTAAAATCCATGCATCCATGATGATACTGAAAAAGGAACCCTTTCCCAAAAGGAGAAAACATTTTTCATTTGCTGCCACTGGAGGTGACTATTGATAGGTAGGTAGATATATATCATATTCTGAAAATCTATAATTAAAAGGAAAGAAATATTTATTCTGTCTTACTAGTAGGAAGCATATTTCAGTGTACCCAAATACATAGAAACCAAGCAGGATTTATTTCAGGAATTCTAAGACAATTGAATAGTAGGAAATCTATTAATAAAATTCACCATTAAGGAATCTAAGGTGAAAATTATACTATCACTTTCATAGGTGTTAAAAAAGCATTTGATAAAATCTAGTCTTAATTTTTAAAAATCACTCTGAAAGGTAGAAATTAGGTACATTTTCTCATTGAGATAAAATGTTTTTCATACCCAAATGGAATAGAACTAGTAATACAAAAACTGCCCATAATGAAGCAGTAACAGAAGCAGCATTTCTACTAAAGTTGTAAAAAGACAAGGATGCCCACATCACCACTATTATTTAATATTGTATTGGAGGTAGTAGGAAGATGTTAGTATAAAAATTGAAAAGGAAGAAGGAAAGCTACTATTATTTGAAGACAATGGTTACCTCCCTAGAAAACCCAAGAAATCAACTAAAATGTTACTGTAAGAGAACTCAGTAAGGTAGCTGGGCACACAAATATACAGAAATTAGTACTTCAGACTACATTCCAGAAAGAAAATGTAGTAAGAGAAGAAAGTCCTGCTTAAAACAGCAACAAAGAATGATAAAAATAACTAGTGCTGAATCTAATGAGTGAGACACAAAACTTATATAATTTTTTTTTTTTTTTTTTTAAACGGAGTCTCACTCTATTACCCGGCTGGAGTGCAGTAGTGCATCTTAGCTCACTGCAGCCTCTGCCTCCCAGGTTCAAGTGATTCTCCCACCTTAGTGTCCCGAGTAGTGGGGATTACAGGCATGCACCACCACGCTGGGCTAATTTTTGCATTTTTAGTAGAGACACGGTTTTGCCACGTTGGCCAGACTGGTCTTGAACTCCTGACCTCAGGTGATCCACCCACCTTGGCCTCCCAAAGTGCTGGGATTACAGGCATGAGCCACCGTGCCCAGCTGTGAAAAAACTTTAGGACAACACTAATTCATACAAAATAAGATGAGCAAATGGAAAGACACCCAGAAACACTCACCATTATTAAAGATGTTAGTTTTCTGGTGTGTTTGTGTGTGTGTGTGTGTGTGTGTGTGTGTGTGTCTGTTTTTGAGTCTGGGTCTCGCTCTGGTACCCAAGCTGGAGTGCAGTGGTGTAATCTTGGCTAATTGCAGTATTGAAGATATTGGTTTTCTAAGAATATTAATAGATGTAATCAGATTTCAATAAAAATTCCTATAAGTTTTGTTTTTTGGTTTTCTCTCCCCCCTTTTTTTCTTCAAGTAGACAAGTTACTCCCATAATTCATACAAAAAAAAGTAAACAAACAAAAATAGTCAGGAAACATCAGAAAAGAAGAAGGGCAAATAGTGGGGACCAGCACTGTCAGATCTATGGAATATATTTAAAAGTCTCAATTATTAAAGCAGTGTGGTATGAATGCATGACAGGGAGACTGACCAACGGAATATGACGGAAAAATCCAGAAATACACTCTAAAACATACATGAATTTATTAATAAAGGCTCAATCCCAAACAGTGGGGCAAAGATAGACTATTCAACTCTGATTGGGACCACTAAGTAGACATTTGAAAAAGGATAAAGTTGAATCCCTGTATGTTACGCTAGGTTAAATTCCAAATGAGTCAATATTTAAAATGAAAATTAAAATCATAATTCTGGAAGAGAACATGGAAGAATTCTTTTAATATTTTGAAATGTAACAGTGCCTCAAAATCCTGACGCCATAAAAGTTACATTTGACTATATAGAAATAAAAAATCTTCTACATGACAAAAGGTAAATGGCAGGTAAAAATGGGTATTTGTAACACATATCACATGCTTTTGTGTAAAAGAAAGAAAATTAATAATCCATGTTTGCATTTCCTTATGTATGTATAAAGAAATGCTGTAAGGATCTATAGAAAATTAAGAATAGAAGTTATTTATGGTGGAGGTGGAATACTGGGTAGATGGAAGATAAGAATGGGAGGAAAACTTTTCACTGTATAACTTTTTTTACATATTGGCCTTTAAACCAGGTGAATATATTGCCTATATGGAAAGCTAAATTTCTTTTTAAGTTCCAACTTTCATATAGCTTACTTTCCAGTGCAGGGAGATAAATAAAAATACAAATCAATATACACTTGGAGTCATAGTGAGATAATTAAATCTATGAATACAAGGAACTTATTTATTTTGTTAGTCTTCACAGTGACTCAAAAAGAGTGAAGCACATACTAGTAGCTCAATAAATACTTTCTGAATAACTGTAGAATCACTTGTTTTAAGTCCTGTCTCTATGATTATGTTATTTTTCTACTAGTTTTTCAATGTAAGGAGACAGATCATGAACTGAAACTATAACAGATTGTACCTGTTGCAGATAGTGTCAGGAACATATATCTTCAGGTCTTCTGTGACTTCTTTCATCACCCTCTGGTAACCAGATATTCCTGAGTCTTTGATATAATTAGGGTTGTTTCTCATTAAATATTCCCCCAAATAATTAATTGGGTCAAACTTGCTTGGAGTATCAACTTCTGTCAAAACTTTCTTCTTTTCTACTTGAGTTAACATGTTTTCTACTCCAGGAACCAAGGTAGGTAAAAGTTTGTCAAGCAAATATGCACGATTATTCAGTGTCATGCTTTCAGTATTAAACCACTCTTTGGCCAAATTATCCCTAGGGAGTTTTTTTTCAGCCTTTTTTTCTAGTTCCTTCTTCACATTTTCCTTGTCTATTATTTTCTGCTGCATTGCTTGGGCTCTTGCCTCCATTTTTTCAAAAAGATTTTTCTTCCATGGTTGCTCTAGCTTTGATTTCAGTTCAGTTTCATCTAAAGCAAAAATCACTTTTGCAGATTTTCTAATTGCAATATTACCTGAGGCTTCAGTTTTAGAGTCCTTTATTGAACCAGGTGAAATTTTTCGCTGCCCCTCCAGGTTTAATTCTGAGGGGAAAAAAAGTGAAATGTAAGAAATGTTAGAAGCAAATTTTAATCTACATGACTTTAGAATAATATTTGAAAAAATTTTTATATCCATTTGCACAGTGGATTGGAACAAGGTCACCTGAAAGTAACAGAAAATTGGACAAAGTGACTTTAACCATAAAGACGTTTATTGTTGACTTAATCAGAAGCCATTCAGCAGTTCAGTGATTTCAATAAGTACCTAGGCTGTTTCTGTTTATTTTCATTCATTTTTTTGCTTGTACCTTATGATCACATGATGACTATCAGAGCTCCAGTCATCACTTCCTCACAGCAAAAAAGGATTGAGGACAAAGGGATTTTCTCCTCTTGAGGCTCTGTTTTATTATCCGATAGGAGAAGATCCCAGACTCCCCACTGTAAGACTTCCGTTTACATTTCATCGGCCCTAACTAGGATACATGCCCACGCCCAGACCAATCGCTGGTAAAGGGAAATGGTATTACTATGAATAGTATAGACAAATTATAATCTATTTATTGGTGTCAGAGTTTGGATCAAGTTCTCTGATAACAAGTTATTTTCATCTGCTACAACACTGAGGTTCAGTTGGCAGGCAAAAAGGTAGGGAAGGCTGGGCACAGTGGCTCACATTTGTAATCCCAACATTTTGGGATGCCGAAGCACGTGGATCCCCTGAGGTCAGGAGTTCAAGACCAGCCTAGGCAACATTAGGAAGATGCTGTTTCTACAAACAATAAAAAAGTTAACCAGGCGTGGTGGCTTACACCTGTGGTCTCAGCTACTCAGGAGACTGAGGTGGGAGGATCACTTGAGCCCTGGAGGTCGAGGCTGCAGTGAGCCATGATCACGCCCCTGCACTCCAGTGAGACTTTGTCTCAAAAAAAAAGGTGAGGAAATGTGTGGTGAGCAAGCAAAGAGTCGACCACACATGTATATTTAAATATATTTCTCTTCATTTTATTCCCAGCTTCTTTTATGTTTTCATTTTTAAAATGCAGGATGCAGACATTAGACCAAGATGGTAGACTGAGAACAGGCATCTACATCCCCTCCCTACCAAAATCTCTAGCAACGACAGGAAAAGTTGTGTGTATGTTTTTAAAATTTAAAAAATGCATAAAAATACTACAATCATGAAGGGGGCCTTCAATTGTCAGGAATTTTGAAGATCTCTGAAAAATGTAAAGCAGGGGAATTCAACTGATTGAAGAAACTATAGCACTAAAAAGATACGGTAGAGACCACTGTAAAATTTGGGAGCAGATTTGAGGTACCCCAAGTTCAGAGGATGTAGATACGGGTCATAGGGGAAAGACTGACCTTTTTGTATATCTTCATTCCCATTTGAGCTAATCAGTGTCTTCCCCTGCACTGAGTTAAGGTATATAGATATTTAGGCTAGAGAAACAGGATTTTCATACACAGAGAAAATGAATTATTGACAGCTTCACTGTCTGCACATCTTGTCCTTCCCCCACTGGCATCAGACTATAGAAAACAATAACTCTATAGGAAAGCAAATAGAGAATCTCAAATTCAAATGTAAGCACACATTCATAGAATGTTTAAGAAAAATCATCCCCATGACTAAATTCAACAAACAGAATAACTAATACCACCCAAGGAAATACCATTAAATAGAACAAATGTAAGGAGTCAAAGAATTAATATCCTCAGAGCAGAGAAGTTAGAAGAAATTAAAAGTTAAACACTTAAGAGAATGTAGACCATCTAGCGCTCACATCTTGGTTTCGAATATCACTCTCCAATTAAAAAAAAAATCAGAACTCCTTGGAGATACAGCTGATTATAGGATTGGGCTCATCTCATATGCAGGAAATATATACAAGAATATCTTGTAGTGCCTAGAATATCTTGCAGTGCCAGAAAGTAACGAAGTGCTGGAAAAAAAAAAAACTAGTAAATAAGTAAAAAGACAAATTTCCTGTGCAGAAATATTCCAAATAATTTATGTAGATACTCCACGATCAAGGATGTAGAGCATAACTCCCCTCTCCTTAAGTGCGGACTGCATATAGTGACTTCCTCTCAAAGAGTACAATATGGAAATGGGAGGGGGAAAATAACTTTAGAGAAACCTGAGAAATATTATCTGAACCTAATGATCATTATTAACATTTACAGTAACACATCATGTTGACACCATATACCCATATGTATATGTATATGTATATGAATATATGACAGCATATATTCAGCCTCCCGAGTAGCTGGGACTACAGGTACATGCCACCATGCTCAGCTAATTTTTCTATTTTTTTCTTTTTTTGGTAAAGATAAAGTCTTACTATATTGCTCAGGCTAGTATCGAACTCCTGGCTTCAAGTGATTCACCCACCTTGGCCTCCCAAAGTGCTAGGATTACAGTCATGAACCACCATGCCCAGTCAATCCAGAACATTTAATATTAATCTTATAAAAGTGTCAGAAGGTATAAGCCAAGTGTTAGACATAATGAAATATTCAAATAAATAATGTAAGAAATCTCTCAGAACTGAAGAAAGACACAAATCTTCAGCTTTGAAAGGCTTACCAAATGGAGTTTCCATTTATAATGATAAAAACTTTCTGGAACTAGACAGTGGGAATGGTTGCATAACACTGCGAATTTACTTAATGGCTCTGAATTGTACACTTTAACATAGTTTAAATGGTAAATATTATAGTATATGTATTTACCACAATTTTTTTAAAAGCCTACAAAATAAACACAGGATACAAGATTAAAATACAAAAGTAAATTGATTTCCTTGGAACTACCAATTTAAAATGTTTTATATTTTTAGTTATCAATGAAAATATAATTTTATAAAGCTTCATTTCATTATAGCAACAAAAATTTAAAATATCTAGAAATAAACCAAACAGAAATGTGTCAGACTAATATGAAGAAAGCTATAAAACTTTACTGAAGTAGTACTGGCATTAGGATAGACATATAGATCAATGGAATAAAATTGAGAGTCCAGAAATAAACCTATACATCTATGACCAACTGATTATTTTTTAAAGTTCCTCTTCTACTCTGAAACCAATTGATTTTTGACAAGGGTGCCAAGACAATTTAATGGAAAAAACAGTCTCTTCAACAAACAGTGCCATGACAGCTGATATCTACATGCGAAGGGATGAATCTGGATGCCAACCTTATACCATATATAAAAATTATCTTTAGTTCTAACAGTCATATATACAATAGTCTATCCAATATAACAGCGGAATACATAATTTTCTCAAGTGCACATGGCGCATTCTCCAGGATAGACAATATGTTAGGCCACAAAACAAGTCTCAATGGATTTAAAAAAATAGACACCATATAAAATATCTGCTCTTTAATGAAGAGCACAAAACTGGATGAAGTTAGAAATCAATAAAGGAAAACTAGAAAACATACAAAGCTACAGAAAATAAACAACTCATTCTTAAACGACTAATGGGTCAAAAAAATCACAAGGGATATTAGAAAATAATAAGAGAAAAATGAAAATGAATACACAACATATCAAAATTTATAAGATGCAGTGAAAAAAGGGCTCAGAGGGAAAATCATAGCTGTAAGTGATTACATTAAAAAAAGTCAAATCTGAGGTCAGGAGATCGAGACCATCCTGGCTAACATGATGAAACTCCATCTCTGTGAAAAAAAAAAAAAAAAAAAATTAGCCAGGCGTGGTGGTGGGCACCTGCAGTCCCAGCTACTTGGGAAGCTGAGGCAGGAGAATGGCGTGAACCTGGGAGGTGGAGCTTGCAGTGAGCCGAGATCACGCCACTGCACTTCAGCCTGGACAACAGAGCAAGACTCTGTCTCAAAAAAAAAAAAAGTCAAATCAATAACCTAACTTTACACCTTAAGAAACTCGAAAAAGTAGTGCAAACTAAACACAAAACTAGCAAAAGAAAGAAAATAATAAAGGTTAAAGTAGAGATAAAAGAGAGAATAGAAAAATAGTAGAGAAAAACAATTTCACCAAAAATTGGTTCCTTGAAAAAAATCAACAGAATGAATAAACCCTGAGCTAGACTGACAAAAACATTAGCAAAGATACATAAATAACCAAAATCAGAAATGAAAGTGGGGACATTATCACCAACCTTACAGATATTTAAAAAAAAAATAATTATAGGCTGGGCGCAGTGGCTCATGCCTGTAATCCCAGCACTTTGGGAGGCTGAGGCAGGCAGATCACGAGGTCAGGAGTTCAAGACCAGCCTGGCCAACATGGTGAGACCCCGTCTCTACTAAAAATTCAAAAATTAGCCAGGTGTGGTGGCATACACCTGTAATCACAGCTACTTGGGAGGCTGAGGCAGGAGAATTGCTTGAACCCAGAAGGTGGAGGTTGCAGTGAGCAGAGATCACACCATTGCACTCCAGCTCTGGGTGACAGAGCAAGACTCCATCTTGGAAAACAAAAACAAAAGCGGTTACAAGAGAATACTATGAGTAATTGTATGCCAACATATTGGATAACCTAGAAGAAATGAACCAATTCCTTGAAATTACCTAAAATGACTCAAGAAGAAATAGAAAGTCTCAAAAGATCTTGCGTTAGTTAGTTTATTTTGTGTTGCTATAAAGAAATACCTGGAAAAAAAAAAAAAAAAAAGGAATACCTGAGACTGGGTAATTTACAAAGAAAAGAGGTTTATTTGGCTCAGGCTATATGTGAAAGAGTGCCAACATCTGTTCCCAGTGAGGCCTCAACAAGCTTATAATCATGATGGAAGGCAGAGGGGGAGCTGGCATATCACATGGTGAGAGAGGGAGCAAGAGAGAGAGAGAAGAGGTACCACACTCTTTCAAACAACCAGATCTCACATGAACTCATAGAGTGAGAACTCACTCATTACTGCAAGAACAGCACCAAACCATTCATGAGGGATCCACTCCATAACCCAAAAACCTCCCACTAGGCCCACTTCCAACATCATAGGTCACATTTCAATATGAGATTTGAAAGGGGCACACA